ATTCACCCACTGACAAATGCTTCGTTTGTGTCTTAGCTATTTTCTCCTTGTGGAGACAAAATACCCACCATCCACAAAATAAGAAAGGTTTATTTCAGCTCACAGTTTGTAGAGGTTTCAGTCCCCAGTAGGCTGTCTCTAAGGCAGGGCAGGATGGCAGAGGGACATTGCAGAGGAAAAAAAGTGCATGGCATAGCAGGCAGAAGGCAACATGCAGCAGGCAGCCAGCCTGACTTTCCCTTTTACCCTATTCAGGTTACAAGCCTTTTGTGTGGTGGCATCCAGAAGTATGCTAACTTCAATCAGTGGATAATTTAATACAACAACCCTTAATCCCAGTATCACACACCCTAGATCCAGCCAGCTCTGAAAACCTCTGTCTATGAGCACATGAGGCTTTGGAGGGATATCTAGACACAAGTTGTAATAGGTTGTTTCTAATTTCTGACTATTATGAATGCTGCTGCTCTGAACGTGGGTGTACATATATCTACTGAAGTCCCTGCTTTCAAGTCTTTTGTGTATATACTCAAAATGAAATTTCTTGATAATATGGTAATTCTATATTTAATGTTTTGAGAAACAGCCATATTATTTTTGACAGCTGCTGAGCTATTTTACATTCCCATCAACAGTGCACAAATGATTCTGATTTTTCCACATTGTGGCTGACACTTGTTTTCTGTGTGTGTGAGTGTGTATGTTTCATGTAATAGCCAACCTAATGGATATGAAGTAGAACCTCATTGTGATTTTGGTTGGTATTTCCCTGATTACTAATGTTTTGTTTTGTTCCGTTTTATTGAGACAGGGTCTCACTATGCAGTTCAGACTGGACTTGAACTCACTTTTGTAGCCCAGGCTGGCCTCAACCTCACAGCAATCCTTCTGGTCTCAGCCTCCCAAGTGTTGGGATTACAGACATAAGCCACCATGCCCAGCTTGATTACTAATTATATTCAGCATATTTTCATGTGCTTATTGGCCATTTATGGATCTTCTTTGGCAAAATCTCTGTTGTTTGCTTGAATTGTTTATCTAATTTTGTATTTTTGTTGTTGCTTTTGGCAGTACTAGGAATTGAACCTGAGACCTAATGCATGTAAGACAAGCACTCTACCACTGAGCTACATTCCCAGTCCTCTTAATCTAATTTTGAATTGTTTGTTTGCTTTGCTGTTGAGTTCTCTAAATATTGTGGGCATTAACCCCATGCAAGATACATGATTTCCAAATATTTTCTCCCCATTTTATGAGTTGCCTCTCTATTCTGCACATACACAGTATTATCTGGTATAATAAGTTTCTAATTTTGATGAAGTCCAATTTATTTTTCCTTTAGTTGCCTAGGCCTTTGATGTCATATCTGTGAAACAACTGTCAAATTCAGTGTTAGTGCTTGCATTCTGGTCTCTGATCCACTTGAGTTAATTTTTATTTATGGTGTTAAGAAGGGTCCAATTTTGTTTCTGTATGCATTCAATTTTTCCAGCAATGTTTTTGAAAAGACTGTCATTTCCACCATCAAATGGTCTTCAATTCTGTGTCAAAAATTATTTAATAGGGCTGGAGATTTAGCTCAGCGGCAAAGCGCCTGCCTGGCAAGCGCAAGGTCGTGAGTTCGGTTCCCGGTACCGGAGAAAAAACAAAAAACAAACAAACAAAAAAAATTATTTAATAATATATACAAGTGCTTATTTCTGGGCTTTCTGTTTTACTCTACTGGTCCAAATGTTTCTCTTTATGCCATTACCACTCTGTTTGATTACTATAGCTTCATAGTAAATTGCAATCAGGAAGTACGAGTGCTTCAACTTTGTTTTGTGTATTTTTAAAGCAAACTTTCTTTTTAAATTGCAAAACAGGTGCCCACCAAGCTGGACTATATCTAACTTTTTTGTTAACAGAATTCTACTGGATTCTGGAGTTAGGACAAAAGCCCTAAGAGTATTTTAATGCAACGATATGAAGTCTTACCTGGGCATGGTGGTGCATGCTTACAAACCGAGCACTCTGGAAGCTAAGGAAGAAATTTAAAGCCAACCTGCACTACGTAGTGAGTTTAAGTCCAACCTGTACTACAAAGTGAGGACCTGTCTCAAAAACTCAAAAATAAGTAAGTAAATAAATAAAAAAGATACAAAGTCCTTCCTATCAACAGTTCAATTCAGGGACTGCATACTTAAAACACTTAAAGGAACCAGGTTGGCTACAAAAATGACTGGAGTAACAGAGTTTTAGAAAAAGGGAGCACAGAGAAATGTGTGGAACCAAGAGGACATGTTCAAAATGAAAAAACATTCTGAAGGCCAAATAGAACAATGTGCAGGTAATTTGACTCTAAGCTTGCTAAGTTGCAAACCACATCTAAATGTGATGAGTTAAATACTTTATATAGGAAAAATACATTGTATATTCTAAACAGCTTCTACAGTTTAAACTGTACATTAGGATATATGATATTCAATGTCCATCCTATGTAGCCAAGGCAGAAAGCAATGAAAAAAGGCAAGAACTCTGAAGTCAAGCTGCCTGGGTATAAGTAACAGCTTCATTATATGTGACCTATACCTTAAGGAAGGTAATTGACTCTCTGAAATCTTCATTTTCTCTTTCCTACAAAATAATAATAGTACCTCTCATAATGTTATGAAGATCAAATGAGACAGTAGGATAAAGTGCTTCATATTAGACTACCTGCCATTTTTATGTGCTCAGTAAAAACATAACCAAAACAAATAAACAAAAAACCCTCAACTTTTTGTCTAAAGACTTTAGGTGATATATATTCAAATAAAAAAAGATAAGAGTCAAAACAGATCAAAGATCTAAATATTAAAACAGGAACACTAAATCCACCAGAAGAGAAAGTAGGTAGAAATCTTGAAGACACAGGGGTAGGCAGAGAGTTCATGAACAGAAACCAAACTGCATGTCTATACTTCAAAGAATCAACAACTGGAATCTCATCTTATTGAAAACTTTTTGCACATTAAAAGAAAGCACCAACAGAGTAAAAAGAAAACCCACAAATTGGGAAAAAATTTTAGCCAACTGTCCCTCAGACAAAGGACTTCTATCTAGAACATATAAAGAGTTAAAAAAAAAAAAATGGGCTCCTAAAATTCAAAGACCCAATCCAAAAATAGATATCTGAGATGAGTACACACTTCTCAGATTAAGAAATATAAATAGCAAATAAATATATGAAAAATGTTCAACATCATTGGTCATTCAAGAAATGCAAATTAAAACAACACTGAGATTCCATCTCACCCCAGAAAGAATGTCTATCATCAAAAAATCAATGAATAACAAATGCTGGTGAGGCTGGGGTAAAAAGGAACCCTTCTCCACTGTTGGTGGGAGTGCAGACTGGTACAACCACTGTGGAAGTCAGTGTGGAGATTCTTTAAAAATTAGAGGTCCCGGGACTGGAGATTTAGCTCAGCGGCACAGCGCCTGCCTGGCAAGCGCAACATTGTGAGTTCAATTCCCGGTTATGGGGGGAAAAAAAAACAAAATTTCAGGTCCCATTTGATCCAGCTATTCCCCTTCTGGGTATCTTTCCAGAACTGAAAACAACGTACCACAGCATTATACGTGCGCCCATGTTTATAGTAGCACAATTTGTCATAGCTAAATCTTGGAAACAACCCAAATGCCCATTAACTGAGAAAAAGATAAAAAAGATGTGGTACTGTTATACAATGGAGTATTACTCAGCCATAAAGGAAGATAAACTCAAGGCTTTTATAGGTAAATGGATGCAACTAGTGACCATATTCATAAGTGAAATAAATCAGACCCACAGATATAAACACTGTACTATCTCCCTAATGTAAGAAACTGAAAGAGTAAATAAAATCTGAAAGGTAAAATAGATACTGTGAAAGGGAAAGAAATTGTTAAAAAGGAAAGACTAACTGGGATGAGAGAAAGGAGAAAAGAAAGAAGGCGGGAAGATATATGTATATACACACACAAGATAGTTAAGATAATTATACCACTAATTTCTATTGGTTTATTGAAAGCAACAGTTAATGACTAATTTTTTAATCAAGTTTGCATGCCTATATCTGATAATCTGAACAACTACTTTGAAGAGCACAGTATGCAATATAACAACCACTGTTAATTTCCTGTCATTTTGTTTTGAAATTCTGTATCATTTTTGCGGTTTTAAAAATTTTTTATTCTCTTTAAAATAAAAAAAGAAGATAAAAGATAAAAGAGATGGTGAGAATCCAAGTAAGAAGAAAAAGGAGTAAAAAAGTAACAATAAAATATAGAGTCAGTGTTTAATGCATACTTGAAATACAACTGGCTCTTACCCATTGCTAAACAACCTCTTCCCCAACAACAACAAAAACAATAAAACCACACAAACAGTTTCTAGAAGCACTACCATGCTATCTCCAATTGGTTTTCATTTGCCATGTTGTTTCAGACTAAACCACTATTTCCTCTTTCCCTAAGTTTAAGCCTTACAGTTACAGAGAAGAAATTTAAACTAGCACACTTCTTTCTCTGTTATTCTGATAGGTGACAGTAGGTATAGAGGGATAAGAAATAGTGAATCCTAAGTTAAAATTTTTTTTTCAATAGCTCCAGCTTTCCACTAAAAATATAATCACCATGGTTATGGTTTTACTTGAAACTTACTCCATTCATTGTATCAGAGTCAGAGGACTTTAAACCAATTTCTTCAGCACAAAAATTCTCAGATCTACCTGACAAAGAACTCGGTTCACATAATTTGTGTCACTCTTTGGATAAAACACAAATTGATCTTGATACATGTTATGATCAAGGCAGTGGTAGGGGGACGTTTAACTACACCTTTGATTTTAGAAAACTTAATCTTTGAATGGTGTCTTAATTTGTTGAAATACCCATGGAAGGGGAGGAAGAGAGTGAAAAAGTGACACAGGAGGTAGAGCCATGGGAGATGTTGCCACTGCACACTCCTTCCTATCAATCTTTTCACACAAGCTTACCGGTTTTACACTCTGTGCACATGAACTTCCCATCGGGGAGTGATGTCCATCCCAGGCACTCCAGGTGAAAGTGTCTGCAGCACTCTCCCTCACAAGGAACCAGAGAGTCGCCAGAGCTTTCGCAGATCTGTAACATGGCAAAGAGCAATGATCCTCAAGCTTTAGCAGGCACCAGTCACCCAGAGGGCTTACAAAAATATAGATCACTGGGCTCCTGTCTCAGAGACCCTGATTCAGTAGGTCTAGAGTCCCAGAAATTAGCATTTCTAATAGGTATTCTGAAGATGCTGATACCACTGTTGGTCTTTGGGCCTTCACTTTGAAAACCACTCACATAGCTGTGACAACTATTTCTGTACCCCATACAACATAAAATTTACAAAGCCATACTTCAGTATAGTATTTGCCTACCATGTATGAGGGCCCATATTTAATCCCCAGTACCACAAATAGAAATAATGTATGTATGTATGTATGTCACACTTGAGCTACTATGATTCCCTCTTTGGGATCTGCATACTTTAATTTTTTTCCATATAACAAAGCAATAGTTTTCCAACAGGGTAGAAATACATTTAAAAAGTTAACATGAATTTAAATATAAGAATTTTTTTTTTTTTTTTTTTGAGACTGGGTTTCGCTATGCAGTTCAGGCTGGCCTTGAACTCACTTTGTAGCCCAGGCTGGCCTCTAACTTGCAGCGATCCTTCTGCCTCAGCCTCTCAAGTGCTAGAATTACAGGTGTGTGCCACCACACCCAGCTAAGAAAATGTTTTTGAAATGGGTCATCTGCTATTTACTCCCAATTAATATCACAATGATGACTGGCATTTACAACTGAATAAGCATTCAAACTCAAGGAAATAAGGAGTTAGAGTTTCCAGATCTGTAGCTTTAAAATAATAGCATAAATTAGAAAAATACTGCCCCCTTCAACAAAAGGTTAAGAGTATTATTGGCAGAATATGATCACACCTGTTTTCAGTCAGAGGATGAGTCACCTGCCTACCTGACACACAGTGTCCTTCCTACTCATTCCAATGCCTCTTCTGGACAAACTTGAATCCATGGACTGCACATCAGAAACGTCTGCATCTGCAGCAGCTGACGGGCTATCTATTTGTTTTCCAAAGCCTACCTATATAAAAAACAGCACATTTTTAAGAAAAACAAAACTTCTATAGAAGTTAGATGTAATGAAAATCCTGATAAGACTTGCTCAAATAGATCTTAGTAACTTTTTTCTTTTTTTAAAATCCATGAAACTTGCAGGTTTACCATTTTGCAAGAAACAATAAACAAACTGCTTCTGTTACGTAAAAGATTAGCAAAATTAAGACATAACTGCCAGATATGGTGATGCACACCTGTAATCCCAGCACTTGGGAGGCTGAGGCAGGAGGATCGCCCTGAGTTTGAGGCCCACCTAGGCTGCATAATGAATTCAAGGACAGCCTGAACTACACAGCAACATACTGTCTCAAAAAAACAAAACAAAAACACTTACAAATTATAAAATAACCAGTGACTTTTCCCCTCCAAAGAGTATTTTTAAAATTCCCCAACTGCCCCAGATAAGTCAGGCAAAAGCACTATGCTACTTTGGTTTGCAAAGCAGAAAATGGCATTCTACCCAGACCCCTGAACATACTTACCTGCAGATCACTCAGTCCTCTAGAATCGGAGTCAGATGTGTCTCTGTAGGCTGAACTAGTCATTTCTACATCAGTTGAAGCTCGACTCCTTTTCTTTAGAGGCTTACAGGAATCTGAAATCTCGCTGGCACCTTAATACAACACACTGAAATTAATCCTAAAATAGTACTTAAAAGTTTAATTTTTTTTTGTGTGTAGGAGAGTATTTTTCCCCAAACTCATCTTTAGTGTGGAAAAAAAAGCACAGCTCTCTTTGTAACACTGAGGCCGTAAGTCAAAACTTCATAAGCTTCTGACCTTCCTGGTAGTAAGTGATTTAACTTACAGCCGCTCTATTAAAACATTTAATTCCATTCACCTGCCCTAGTGCTATTTTCAGTCAGCAGAGCCCAAGTTCCAACCTAAAAATCAATTCTGTCAAGACTGCAAGATTGCTGATTGATTTGGAGCAATTCAAAGAACCATTAATTTGGAGGGGTAGACATAAAACCCAACACACTGTGTAGCTTACAAATATGGTCGCAGAAACATCTCCATCTTGTTTTTATTAGGGATGTGACAAATCTTTGATTTGTATTCGATTCGTACACGGATAGTGCCATTTTCCCGAATTTTGCAATTCAGTTGATTATTGCCCCCCCCATAAATTTTGGATGTTCATAATTGTTCATCTGAGACTTCCTTGGTGAAGTGGCATTTATTGTGACCATTAACAAGTGCTGCAGCACATCTACATGTGTCATGCCATTAGCAGGCACATTGCTGAGAGCAGTGAATGGACAGCGTTCAATGCAGCCAAGTCACGAAGAGCTGGATGAGAGGCCTCTATGTGGAATTTATGCGGGAAGGAGTAAACGTGAAAAAAAAAAAGGCAGAGAATAGTGTGGAATTTTTTTTAAAACTGTGTGTAATACAAATCCAGCCAAAACAATAGTGCAAAAAGTTACAAAGCAACAATCTCTTGGGCTAATGCGGTATAGGCTATACAGAAACAGCCACGATGAAATGTGCAGATCAGGCACGGTGAATACCAAGGAACCAAGGAGACGGTTAATATTTCCACCCACAGTTTGCGTTTTGGATTTTCCCCCAAAATTTCCATACAACAGACAGACATCTAGATCAGACCAGCAAGCTATGGTGGAAGTGTGCAGTCCAGAAGAGACCATAGAGAAACAAGTCTCCTGAGGCCACGAAGATCCGCAACAGGCTGAGTGGGAGCAGCACTTGGTACATAGCCATGTTCTGTGGTGGAGGATGTGGGCCTCGGGAGACTGCTCAGATTACTGGAACCTTGTTATCACATCCCATCTACAAGTTTTTCACTGAATGCTTCCTGACAGCTATGAATGAGGGTGCCTGCCCACGTTAACGCTGATTTAAAAACACAAGTACACAAATCTATCTCCTTCATTGCTGGTGTATGGACCCAGAACACCACCACAAAATATTTCCTTGGCCTAAGAGATCACTGGATTAACAAGGAGTTTTAACAGAGGAATAGGAGTGCTGTACTGAGAGGCTTTCGAAGGGAAACACAGGTACCGCCATTTTCGATGAGTTTCTGAAAATGATAGAAAAATGACAGACTGCTGAAGACAGCTGTCATGCTGTTCTCCATGATAACGGCACTAATATTAAAAAAAAAATAAGAGCTTTTAATGATTGCAACGTATACAGTTTGGGCTGTTTGGCAAAACCCTGCAGATGTGCATTAATGATGCTTTATTTAAAAACAAAAAACCAAAAAAACCCCAAAAATAGTCCATGTTGGAATAGATCAGTGTAAGTTAAACGGTGGTTTTTAGGCTGGATTCATGATTTAAGCTGTACCCATCCAGCTCAGACCAAAAAAAGAAAAAAGAAAAGAAAAAGAACAAAAAAGAAAAAGAAAAAGAAAAAAATCATTTGAATGTTAAAGCAATTGTTCAGTCTTGAAGAAACCAGGCAGGAGAATGCCAATAATGATGATTGGCAAAATCGAAATCGAAAACAAAGAAACTGTTTATCGAGCCGCCGACAAAGAAATCTTGCATGGAGACTACAAGTCTGGAGTTTCTGGGATGAAATTGTACAGGAATCTCAGTCCACAGTTTCCTCAATCGCTGCGGAGACGGAGCTGTCACTGAATCTGACAGAGCCCTGCACTCCCCGGTCCGCCGACCCTGTGGAATGGTGGAAACACAACGCAATCAGGCCTCCTAATCTCGCAGCGATCGCGATGTCTTTTCTTGGAGCTCCGCCAAGCAGTGTTCCCTCCGAGAGGCTGTTCAGTTCTGCTGAGGATCTCCACGGAGACCATCGCTGCAGACTTCTCCCCGAGAATGCAGAGAGGCTGGTGTTTTATTTTATTTATTTTTTAAATAATGCAATTTGCCCAGAGTAAACTACAGGTAATAAATACAGTTTTGAGTTCACCAAAAAACGCATGAATCATGCTATGGAGTTCGTACTGTAGTCAAATTGCACACAGGAAATACAGATATAAGTTTAAGGTTTCTTAAACTTTGTGCATATCGCAAATAGATTCACATAAAGTCATCTAATAGTGGCCATAAATATGCTATGGATCATTTAATTTACAAAAAGGTTTTACAGCACTGTAAAAATAAATGTGGCAAAATTTTTTCAATTGGGTTGTCTTTTCTGATTTGTCATAGTCCATGTTTGACAAACATTAATAGCTACTATTCGGTATTCAGTCGAATACCAAAAAAAGTGGATTCGTCACATCCCTAGTTTATAAAGCCAGTGAAACCCCAGAATTTTATGGAGAAAAGTTGGAAACAGTATCAACTCTACATGGTGTTCTCCAATTTACCAAAACAAGACTTTTCACATGAAGGTACAGAGTAAGATCAACTCTAAGAGTCACACACACGCACACACCAACACCGGGGAATACTGCAATTTCACACTGAAGAGCAACAACAATGATTTACAGAGACAGACAAAAATACATGAAGTACAAATAAGTGATTCTTTAAAATTGGTTTAATCAAGGAAATGCAAAACAACATTATAAAATTAACTCACCTTTCTGTAATCCAGTCTTCACTGTAGCCTGAGGAACTGTTTCAACCTGTTTGGACAGAAAAACACAGCATTAACAAGGAGGTTTTTTTCTCTTTTAATTAACAGGGAAAAAATAACACTTTCATTGATCTAAGTAGTGATGAGTGATCAATGTATCTAAAATCTGAACTCAGTCCCGTTTTCTGGGTCAAGTTCTCTGTCTCAAGGCCGGGGAAGGTTTAAATCCTAGCTGCCTATGCTGAATACCAAGTGACAACACCAAGCCACATGCTCTCTAGCAAAGACTTTTCCCACCATTCCCTTGGTATATGGAAAAAAAGAGAATACTTTCCTCAGTGTCTGGAAGGCAAGAGAGGGGTTGTTTCTGCAACCAGCCCCAATGTTGCTATAAACCCCTCCCGCCCCAAAGACGTTAGGATAAATTTTTACTTACTATGATACTCAGGTTAATGTAACTCACGCCACTTTAAGACCCTTCCGCGCCTGCACTCACAGCTAAGTTGCTGGGAATCAGGACCCTCTCTGTAGAGAGTGCTACAGGGCTCCATACAGCTGGAAGCTCAATACTTTTGCTGCTAGTACAAACTTAAGAAAATAAGTTTGTGATATTGCAAAAGCACTTTCTTGAGTGTCTTATGAACAGTGTCTTGATCCTACATTAGGAGAGCGAGATTAGAAGTTATTCTGCCAATGTATATGTAAAACACGTGGTAATTTGAGGATTGAACCATTAGAGAAAGGATGCTGTTTGGAGGAGTTCCTGTTTAAGCTATGAGTTGAATTTTGTTTCTTTAAGATGTGGTGAAATATGAATGTTGAAACACATTTTGTAAATATTTAAGGACTGTTCTAAGCTTTTTAAAAAATTTTTTATTTTTTTACAACAGGTAAAAAAACATACAACATAAATGCTTTTTATAAGATACAATTAGTCATACAAATATAAAATTTTCTAACAATCACTGGTTTATTCTACTACTGACTATAACACAGTGGCATTAACAATGTGTCCCATTTTTTTGTACTCATTCTGCTTATTAACTTTTAAACTGGTCACAGACTGAATTTGGGAACCAAGTGGCAAAATCACAACTTTATTATAGTAACGAATACTGTAGATTTGCAAGAGCTTATTAAGATTTTTTGGAATATAATTTTCTAAGTATGAAAGTTAATATGCTAAATGAATGCAAATTAGTGTATTATTTCACTTTCAGTTAAATATTCTGGAAAAATTGTTTTACATGCTTATGATATCATAGAGCACCCACAAAGACAGATCTTAAATTTAGTAGTTTAAAATTATGAAGGCAATATTTTAAATAGAAAAGTTCACAATCTTCTGTAGTAAATAATTTTTAAAATATAAAACTTACTGGAACTAATTCTACTCAGAATATGTTTTGTTTAGTATCAGGCGTCCAGGCTGAATAAATGGATATTCTTTCACTTAAAAAAAAATTAAGAAAGTCTGGATTGTGAGTTCAAAGGAGAATGGTTTCTAAAAGTGTGTTTGAAAGGGTACTTTCACATATATGTTACTATACTGAGTACACCAGTTGAATATTCTGTCAAAATGTACCTCCTCTTCTTTTTCACTTAAATACTGTTTCACAACCTATACCAAGTGAGTGCCATTTCACTGGGAAAATAACATTCCAAAAAACCTATGATATCAACAGAAAAACCAGATCATCTGTAACTATCTGTTTCTTAAATATAAGTTAAATTAATTTGATTTGTTTAAAAAAATAAAAATACATACCAGCAGCTTAAACCAAAAATCAAAACTTTAAAAAAAAGGGAACTCAATGATAGTCCTCCCCCAAAATCATGAAGACATAAAATCATTTTGCTCGTAACACAAATTTGAAAATAAATTTGAGGGTTTTAAGAGTCTCGAACCACTGGCATCCCATCCTCTGAAGCCTGTCTGTTTTGTGTGAAAACACCTAAAGCAGAACCCCAGGGAGGGTTGTATTAGGACTGGGCACTGGTATCCCCAGGACAGGAGCATAAGACAGTCCAGAAAGGAAACCCAGGGTGGGGGAAGTTTCACTTTCTTTTAAGATACTGAGAGAAGCCACAACATGTACAAATACAGTGCTTTAACTCTCTACATGTAGGAAGCCAACCTGCTCCTTTTTGATCTTCTTCTTTGGCACAGCTTCCGAGGACTTCTCTGATTCAGAACGAGTCCTAATTGATCTTCTCTGTTGCTTCTTTTCTACCAAGCCTAAGAGATGATTTAAACACATAAACACTCATTTAAGGATGGCTTGACATTTATGGAGGTGACCAGATTCTTTGCCTTTCTCATCCATTACTTTTGGAATTTTAATTATAAGCCATTAAAAAGCTTTTAAATATTTGGGAGCACAAAAAAATTACTAGTAGATCAAACTGTAAAGGCTGCTGAGCTGAGACTGGGATCCACAAAAGAACCTGGTTATACAAATAAAGGGAGGTTGAATTTTTTAAAATTATAAAGTCAAACTGAAAGAGCACAGACAGTTCAGTTTTGAAGGCATGTACACATATTTAGGTAAATATATCTGAGGAGAGCAAAGGGCTGAAGAGGTGAGTAAAAATGACTTTATTACCCTGTTTAAACAGGTATTATTGGTCCAAAATTCTTAGCGAATGAGTTTAATTAACTCCATAGGTAAAAGGGTTAATGGTACTTGGGAAGCTTACATACGTTTTGCTACTGTCATTAATACTCAAAGTGAGAAAAGCAGCAAAGGCACAAAAATGTGACCTAAACCTAATTGTCAATTTGGTCAATTTGACTATCAAGGGACTTTTGCTACACTTTAGGAAAAGTCATAAAAACCTACTTGAAACAAATTATCAACTTTGTCCATGCTAAATGGTAAAATAAGATTTTAAAAAAATAGTACATTCTTTAAAAATAAACATAAGACAACTCACATGAACTCTATTTTTGGAAAGCATAAAAACTTAAAGACCACAACTTGAAAAAACACTAAGTTAGGTTTGATTTTGGTCTGTAATCTTGAGAAGCAACGATACTTTCAGTGAGGATGGCTGTCATGTTTTCAATGTTTGGACCACCTAACATAAAATGGTCCTCTACAGCCTGGTGTGGTGGCACACACCTGTAATCCCAGCACTCAGGAGGCTGAGACAGGAGGATTACAGCAAGTTTAAGAACAGCCTGGACTACATGGCCCAAGACCAGCCTAAACTACATAGCAACATCCTCATCTCAAAACAAAACACAACAAAAACAAACAAAAATCTATAAAATCAGATGGAAGCTATTCCAATACAGCCTTCCAGATAACCTTTGTATTTTCTGACTTCATTGCTCTGGGTTATATGTAAATATAACCTTCACCTTAGTTCAAAGTCAAACCAAAGAAGGATCCCACTACAGCAGTGTGTTTTTTGATGAGGAGTGGGTAGTTTGCTAATTGTCTATTTTGGAGCTGTGATTAATCAGTTTCTAGCAGAGAGGTCACAAAGGTGTTGGTTCCTTCCTTTAAATGTCTACCAAGGCACCGGCTACCCTGCCCTCCTAGACCAAGCCAAGAGTCCCAGAGATCCATATTTTAGTCTAATCAGCATTATTCAAGTATTACCAGGAGAGACAAAAATATAAATGGAGCTGCTTAAAATAAAATAAAAACTTTATTTGTTTTGATGATGACAATATACTTGCACCATGAAGTGCAAATGAAACTGGATCTGCTGTCATAGAGGGGTGAATGAGGCAACACGGCTTCCTAAAATTACTCTGAAAGGTACCCACTAAACAGTACTATCATGCTTATCTACTAGAAGCAGGAGGTGAGTGTGTCTGGATTTGGAAAATAGCTGAGAAATCTAGTGTGAATGCAAATATAATACGTTCAAACCACAGAAATGTAGCAGTGCCACATATCTTACGTATCTCCTGAGTTTACTAAGGCTCAAGATTTCTTTTTCACTAGTGAATACCACCTGAGATGATAATACAATTGGCTTCTGAAGGAAAAATAAGTTTCCTTCCTGACCTTTCAATTACTAAAAGTCAACTTTCTCATACAAAAAAGCAAAATGGCCACTTAAAAAGACAAAGCATGTTTATCAAACACAGCTGGTAGACAAATTTAAACCAACACTGAAGCTTTAGAGCACTCATCCCTAAAATAAGGTTCCAGTCACAATATACAAGCAAAACTGTACACACCTGACAAAGTCACTAGCCAGCCTTTTTCCTGATATAAAGAATTATAACCTTCCACTTAATTAAAAATAATTTCATAGCAGAACTTAAATCTTACAATGAAAAGGTTAAATGAAAATGTTCAGTAACTCAGGGAAAGGGACAAAAAACAAGCTCCACTAAAAATAAAAGTATATTTAGGAAGAATAATTTATTTTCTCCCTAGTTACAAACTATAGATGTTTAAAGATCCTCCTAATTTAGGTATCCCACTTAAATTCAGACAAATTAACAACAGTTTAGAAGATTATGGGGGGCCCCAGCATTCAAAAAAAAAAAAAAAAAGTAAAGAGAGGTAACAGAACTGATATACCTATGAAAAGCTGAAGTTGAAACATACTTTTCATAGCCAAAGAAAACACATGTTTTTAATTATGGCTGATTAATGCAAAACTCTAGTCCATTTTACTGACTCAACATTATAATTTTATTTTATTTTTTATACAATGGTAGCTTGGTTCACAAACTTAATTCTTTCCATGATTTCAGTTCTTGTCGAATTTGGTTTACAACCAGAACTGCAGAAAGAATTAAGTTCATGAACCAAGGTACCACTGTATTTATTATTATTTTTGTTTTGTTTCATTTCAGTTTTTTTTTTGAGACAAGTCGTCCTATGTAGTCCAGGCCAGCTTTGAATTTACTGTGTAGTCCAGGCTGGCCTCAAATTTGCAGTGCTCCTCCTGCCTTAGCCTCCTGAGTGCTAGGATTATAGGAATGTGCCACCACACCTGCTACAATTTTATTGAACAGTATTTGGAAATGATACAAGTTACAAACCTGGTTCTGGATCTTGCTACTCCCTCCTTTCTTTAGTTCTGGTTTCTTTCCTAACTAACTACTGAATAAAGGCATACTTAATATACACCAACCAACGTATGTCCCATGTCCCCTTGCCACCGCTTCTGTCCTACAGCCCCATCACTTTTTTAGAAGCCCAAGTCCTTTTCTAAATTGTAATTATTTTTACTTAGCTTTTCTGATAATTAGAATTTTAAATTTACTTTGTAAAGATACTTCTTCATGCTACTCAATACAAGTTTGCCTAGCTTACTGTTGAGTCAATATTATTACTTCAGCTCTTATAACTTTGACCCTTTGACCCTGAAAATTATGTGGTCACTGTGATATTGTGATATAAGCAGTATATATTTGGTCTCCACCCTTGCTTCCTGGCACGTGGACCTTAAATCCTTTGCAATTTCATACATGATAGGGGTGTTGGGTGCATCCTGTTGTAGTATTTGGTCTTGGGCCCCAGTTCCTAACACAGATTCTAATCCCTTGGGACTTCCTCAGTGACAGAGGAAATGGGGTGACTCCTGATGAACTCCTAGGTAGGGAGTGGTCACCAGAAAGACCAGGCCAGGATAAATTCTCAGCCCCAACTCAACTTCCAAAGAGGAAGACAGTCTGGAGAATGAGTTAATAACTGATCATACCTATGTGATGAACCTCACATAAAAACCCTGAACTACGGGGTTTAGAGAACTTCTAGTTTGGGGAACATGTGGAGGAGCTAAGGGAGTGGTAAACCCAGAGAGGGCTTTCCACATATGCTGTTCTGTGCGTCTCTTCCATGTGGCTAATGATCGGTAGTCTCTGTAACACCTTTTATAATAAGCTGGTAAATGTAAGTAAAGTGCTTTCCTGGGTTTTGGAGAATCGGTCAGTGTGGTGAAAATTCATTCAACCAGGTCACAGAAGTGTGTTGAGTAATCAAAGTACAGTAGAAGAGAAAATAGTTTGTTGTTTGCTTCTACTGTATAGTCACTTAAGATTAAAAAATAAAGAAGAAAATAAAATCTCCTAAGCTAAGATTCCACGTGACCAAGCTAATCAATACCTAGCTCTTTTCTTGATGACTATGTTAAGCAGTATTACAGAAATACTACTGACATGACACTGTTTTTTTTATTTTTTTGGTTTTTTCTCCAGTACCGGGAATCAAACTCATGACCTCGCACCTGCCAGGCACGCACTATGCCGTTGAGCTAAATCCCCAGCCCCATGACAATGTTATATAAACCAAACCCACCATTTATTCGAAACTCTAAGATCCTGCCAGCCTCTAAAAAAAATTATACATTCTAAACATACAATCTTACTGAATATAGGTATCTCTCATTTAGGAAAGAATAATATAGCATAATTTTCAGTTCATTGTGTTCATTAATCAGAGAACAGGTTACATTAGCATAGTTAGGCCCTAGGCCTCTCAGCTACCAAGACCTTGCATAACTAGGAATAATGAAAAGAGCTCTGATATCTGCCAATCTGCTTTCAATACAGGATAAAGGAGGAAAGGGTAAGAATGTGCTAAAAGTGCTGGAAAAGTTATTCTCATCCAAATAGAGATCATCAAATGGTACAATTACTTTACTCTGGTATGTTTAGATTTTACAGCTATATTCTTATTATGATTTTTTTTTTTTTTGTACTGGGAATTGAACTCACGACCTTGCACTTGCCAGGCAAGCACTGTGCCGCTGTGCTATAGCCCTGACTATAGCCATATTCGTATAGAACTTCCTTTTTAAATTCTTAGAAGAAAAATAACTGTTATTATGAATAAAATTCTTTAGCCCCCTCATCCACTATCTCTACTGAAATAATTGCTTTATAATTCAATTATTTATTTAGTAATAGTAGTAGTAGTAGTATTTTTGAGATGGAGTCTTACTATGTTTCTCTGCCTGGTCTTGAACTCCCAAGCTCAAGTGATCCCTATGCCTCAGCCTTCAGAATATCTGAAGCTATAAAAGTGCACCACCATGCTATGCTCAACAATTTACTTTTTTTTTTTTTTTTTTTGGTTTTTCTCTGGTACTGGGAACTGAACTCACGACCTTGCGCTTGCCAGGCAGGCGCTGTGCCGCTGAGCTAAATCCCCAGCCCCCAACAATTTATTTTTGATAATGAAGTATCTTAGTAACACAGCAGAACAGAATGATAGGTCTCTCAAAGTGGATCCATAGATTCCTCATTCACACCCACCTGTAGGACCAGATGTTGCTTCAGGAGATGATATATTCTGTGTTGGCTTTTCATTTCTCTGGTTTGGTGAGGAAATTATAAGCCTGTCTTGTCCCCTGACACTTATTTCCGTTTTGTTACCAATTCCCTTTAAAATAAGGCAAAAAAAAAAAAAAAACACAACCATAATTACCAGGCAAAAAGCATCATGGACTTATGAAGCTGGCTTAACATGATTATAATTTGCTTAAATCTGTTGAACTTTGATTATTGCCCTTATCAGAACAATTTTATTGCCATCAGCACATACTGAAACATGTATAATGACAGCATGTGGACAAAAACTATTAGTCTAAGTCCAGGTGATAGATATTCGTATGAGAACCTGTATCATCGAATATACTGAAAAACAAAAAGTATCTTCTGTTCTGAAATTTCTTCTTTTATACATATACTAGATAACTCTAGTCACCGTCATTTGATATAGTGCCCTATTATAAAGATAGAAAAGTCAACATGTCTAAACAGACAACAATATCCTCAGATACAGAAATATGTCATTTTGGTAACCAAACTGCGACCAATAAGTAATCTGGAGCAAACAGAAAGTAGGTAAAATTCATTTAAGTCTCAGGTATTTTTAATGTAAAGGAGTAGCAATAAAGGAGCAATTTATAAGTAAGTATGTATTTTTTAAAAATTAGTTTAATCTCCAATTTCCTTTAAATAACATTATTAGGGGTGAGAGGACTGACTTTGATTTGTGTATTTAGAAGCAGATTAAAATGAGCTCCAAGAATAAGGCCAACCTGCATTTTTAAAAGATTCAAAAGACTCATTTGCTACCGAGAATGAAAATGGAGACTGAACATGAGCTTTACCAAGACCCCTAGAGGACCCTGAACATATCTAAGAAAATATATTTTAATGAGGCAACCCTATATTTAATTAATTATTTTAACATGCATGTGTCTATGTTAGGAATAAACAAACATGGAATTCATTATTTTTAAAGCAGACCCAAGGTTGTGTGGGTTGGGGAGAGTGGTGAGGAAGAATATAGATAGGATCAATGCTATAGAGAGCTCTCGTGTCTTTAGTCCCAGGGCATATAGATAAGGCGTTCTGTCTATAGTGACTGTTTCTAACCCATCCCCAGGCTACTGCAACAATTAAATATCACAAGACAAACAGTACTGGGATTCAATAAAATGCAGTTAGATATCCTGAGACCAGGAGTTAACAAAATTGCTTGTACAACCAAGCAGATCAGCAAGTAGATTTTGTACAGTAGTTTTTACAACAATAGTTAATTCAGATAACTGGAAAAATGATTTTAATAAGAAGCACACACTGAAAAAAAAAAAACTATACAAACTAGAAACAGGCAAACTGCCCAGTTTTTTTCCATGACTTTTGGGAGCTAAGCTCAACTTTGGCTGCATAGCTCAAGATTAATCTACTACAGATGGTAATATTACAAAAGAAAATGAAAAAAAAAGAAAAAAGAAAAACATGGATGTTTTGCCTGTGCCTTTTTTGCCTACAGGCTAAATGTGACTATATGCTTCAAATGTGGGAAATACAAAGAGTATTTAAATTATATCCTTGTGTTATTCTTTAAATGCCAAGATTGACTACTTTTAAAACAACCTCCCCCTCAAACCCCTCACTCCAAACAACCATAAAAAAATGAGGTACCTTTGTTGAATAAACAAATTGATCGATAAATTTCCCATCTCCTGTTGCATTTTGAAGAGCAAATACTTGTTCAATTTTTACAACTGGGGACATGTTACACTTCTGCAAATCCAGGCTCCCTTTGTGCATTGTAATGGAAGCTGGTAAGGATTTCCTTGCGGCTGCTGTTTTCCAGGCTATTTTAACAGGGGGCGGTTCTTCCTCTTCCACACTTGTGTGCCGCCTCTGACTGTGTCTCCGAACATCAGTACTTGACTGTGAGGAGGCCACCTCCCCTGCATTGGTCTGTTCTGGTTGACTATTCAACACTGATCTTGGTCTTCGGGGTTTTTTCATTTCGGTCTTGGAGGCAGCATTCTTTTTTGTTTGGGATAAAGCCTCTTCAGGCTGTTTATCAATATAGATGAAAGTATACTGTTCTATTCTTTCTTCTCGAGTCATTTTCAATGCTTTTTCTGCATGGGCAATGCCAATATCCCATTGGGCACGTTCTCTCTGAGGTCGGGGTTTCCGAATCTTAAAAAAAGGCACAGGCATTAATTTGATACACTTAAACAGGTACACTGAAACCAAAATGCATTATGCAAAATGCAAAATGTATTCGTATTTGCTTCTGTTATCTTTTTAAGGTACACATAAGTATCTTTGGGTTCTTCCCTCAAACAATTGGAATATCTTAACTCTGTAACTTTGACTTAAATTAGAATAACTCTACTAGATGTCATAAAGGTCTATTCTCTTACACATCCTTCCTCTGTTGACCACTTGCTGGATGAGTTCCCCAAAGAGGGAGTTGTCCTCACACCATAGTCACAAAATGCTAGTGATAATTAGGGAAAAGAGAAGAAAGGTTACAAAAATGACTACTTTTAGTGGCCAACTGAACACTAACATTAAGAATAATAACTCAAAACTCCCACTTCTTTCCTCCACAGAGAGAAGGTTGGGGTAGTTGAGGGGTGCCATGGAGCAAACCAGCAAAGAACCAACGAAGACGTGCTGTAGTCTACCCTAAGCAAACAGGGACAGAAAGGAGGGAGGAACAAACAAAAGCTAACAAGACCAAAGACAGCAGGCATGTGTAAGAGAAAAGACACAGCAGACCCAAATCATAGTTTCCACAGGTCTCTAAGATCCAGAGTTGATCAGAAGGCTTTGGATTGGCAAAAGAGGGAAGAGAGCTTTGAATAAAATTGTGTGAGCTGGCAAAGGCAGTGATTAGAAGTGTATGAGATGACTGAAGCCATCAGGAATTATCAGAAGGTTAAGCTAAAAGTGAAGTTAGTTAATGAAACTATGAGATGGTATAGTGTAAGTCAAATACTAATGTGTAAGTCTGTCAATTCTAAGATTCATAAAACTAATCAGTTCTCTGTGATAACATTTAACTTTTACAGTTAAAAATGGCACATTCATGAATCACAAGAGACCCACATTATAATTAGTTGAGTTTAAAACCTCAACCAGACTATCAGGAGGACATGTCAAAATTCTAAACTATCTACCACTACAGCAAACGTATTTTCTGGTTCCATCATTTGTGTGTTCTTGTGTGAGGCAGTTACATAAGCACATAAGCTTTCTTTGCTTTAGTTTCTTCAGCTGCAGGAAAAGGAGTAATAGTATCTACCTCATATGGGTTATTGTGAAGACTACGTGAGTTAATGCATACAGAAAGCTCTTAAAACTGTGTCTGTCTCAGAGAAGGTGCTCACTGATTTTTTTTTCCTTTTCTGGGTTTTAAAAAATTTTATTGGTACATTTTAGATATACAATGATAACATTCATCATAGGGAATTTGTACCTGTACACAATATGTATATATTACTTATTTTTCCTATTCCCCTCCCCTCCCTTCAACCCTTCTTCCCCTCCTCATTTACAAAAGCTTTGCTTTCATTTCTTCCTTTTATTCTTTTTTTCTTGTCCCTTCTTTCCTTCCCCTTCAGTGAATATTTTTAAACTTAAATTGCATAAGGCAGTTCTGTTAAATACGGAGAAATTGTAAGACACTGAAATAGGAAAAAATTTTAAATCCCTGGAAAAATCCAAATTTCACTAACACCCTATAGACTTATGCTCATTAACTCAATTCACAAAAGAATTCAACACTGTATTAAGTAAAGCTTTTAAGAATACTATATAATGCTCTTTATGTAACAAAAACCAGTTATACTTACAAACCTAGTGATCACCTGCAATGATTTAAAGTGAACTTAAGGGAGTTAAAATAACAAGTCATTGTAACAATGGTCCGAATTCAAGTATGAAAAATTGTGACTTATTAAATCCTTTAAAAACCGTATTAGAAGATGAGGGTACAGCCCAGTGGTAAAACACATACCTGGCATAGGTTTCTCAGGATCAAATTGTGTGTGCGCGCATGTGCATGCGCACACACATGCACGCACGCAAGATTAATAAAAATACTTAATTTTTAAAGAATTTTGCAGCTGGGGATATAGCTCAGTGGCGCAGTGCCAGCCTGGCAAGCATGAGGTCCTGAGTTCAATTTCCGGTGCCCAAAAAAACACACAAAAACAAAATAAGACAAACAAAAAAAGAATTTTGTCACCCTTTTAAAAAACTGGTTTCAGTCCTTGCTTCAGCAGCACATATACTAAAAAGAACTGGCTTCGTTTTGGCAGATTTGTATATGTACATAACATAACCACCCTCGCCCTCCAACGCACCTTTTGCCCTGCCTTCCCCTGCCCCTTAGGAGGGGTTCCAGGTGTGTATTTTGACCCTACCATTCCCCTACGACCCTACCATTCCCCTACGACCCACCCTTACAGCCCTTCTCCCCTTCTTCCCTTCCTCTCGTCTAATAATAGTCTTTCTTCTACTTTCTTGGTATATATTTTGGATTCCACATATTAGGGAGAACAATTCTCTTTCTGAATTGGACTTAACAAAAATACTAATATGCTGTATTTACCTTCTGTTTTTCAGAATGATTGCTGGCTTGTTTGGTTGCTTCAGCCAGTAATTCTTCATACTGTTTATGACCTTTATATTCCCGTACCCGCTTTTCATGAACCCATGCTCTCTCTGGCTGGTTGCTAAAAAACTGGACATGATATTCCCGGGCACCTGTAAGTAAAAATTCTCATTAATTATTTCAAAACATGAGCATCCACATATACTGTACTTAAGCAAAAGGGCCTCTTACTTAGGTTTCTTCCTGTTTTCCCATTACAATTTGTATATTTTGAATTATCCAAGGACATATTCGAATAACTACCAATTACACAACTATTAGCTCTGTAAAAATCACTCCAAATAGCTCAGTGTGGTGGCACATGCCTGTAATCCCAGCATTTTGGGACGGTGAGGCAAGAAGGTAGGCAATTTAGTGATTTAGCAAGACCCTGTATTAAAATTGTAAAAGAAAAAATATTTTTAAAGGGATGGGGATATTGCTCAGTGAGAAGGCCCTGGTTCAATCCCTAGTACTGGTGGGGTAAAAAAAAAAATTACTCCAAATGATTAAAATCAGTACAGCAAGTTTCAAGAGAAAAGCTGAAATTCTGCTAATTACTAGATTTATTACTTTGCTTATAATAGTTTATTTAGAAGCACCAGGACTTGAATCCATGACTACATCCCCAGTCCTTATTTTAAGACATGGCCCTGGTAAATCAGGTTATCCAGGTTGAGCTTGAACATGCAATCTTCCTGTCTCAGTCTCCTAGAATCCTGGGATTACAAGTATCTACTATCACATTCAACATGGTTATACAATTTATTTTTACTTCTTGTCAATCTTTTTACAAACAAATTGGGGTAGAAATAATGTTTATGTATGACCTTGTTTTTTGGACTTTTAAAAGACAAATGCTGATCAAATTGCTCTTCTAGCTATATGAATAGGACACTCAGGGATTCTGTGAGGTCTCAAAATTGTCTTCATAACATTATCAAAATATCACTGGTCTTTCTTACTATGTTGACATTTGTACTTAACAGTAACAAAAGCGATAGCAGATAAGACCACTGCTGGCAGCTGGGCGAGGTAGTGTGTGCCTGCAGTCCCTGCACTCAGGAGGCAAGGCTCCTAAGAGGATTGCTGCAAATTCAAAGCCAGCCTGGGTTACATACTGAGTTCAAGGCCGGCCTGCACTGCATGGCAGGATCTTATTTCAAAGATAGATAAATAAATAAACAAATAAATAGATAAAATTTTTAAAAAATTTAAAATGCTATTGGCAGGTACACTGAATGGAGACAAAATGAATGCACCAAAGTTCATCCCTGTATTTTTCACAGCTATCAACTGGCACTTTAAAAAAGTTTTACTTACTATCCTTGAGGAAGCAGTAAAAATTACTAATTTTCCCAAGTCTTCAGCCTCAAATACATGTCTTTTTAATACTCTGTGTGATGAAAGGGAGAATCGAGTGAAACCCTAGTCCACACAGAATATGACAGCTGTCTTGAGGAGAAGGGCTGGTGTGCCTGAATGACACAGTGAGCTGGCCACTTTTTCATGGAACACCATTTGACTAGAAAATATGTATGAAAGAGCTATGGTTATTCAAACTTCAGTATCTGGCAGATATCTCCTCAAAAATGAGCTTTTCTCTGCTTCAAGGAAAACAACATTATTCATTGCCAGTAATAAAGTCTGATCTTTTAAGCAAAATTTTGTAAAATTCTGGAAAAATGGGTTTTGACTCTGAATCAGCTAGCTTCCCAATAATCAAAGAATTTTCTAATGAAATTGTGGTGATATTAACTAATGTGATTTAGAAGATTATCTATAAGAGAATGTGTCAACATTTAAAAGAGCTACTTATACATGACTCAGTAAACTAAGAAGTTTCAAATGGCCAATGAATGTAAGATGTTACAAAATTACACATGGTAAAAGGTCCACTCAAAGTACAAGACAGAATCAATGGATTTTAATGTAGAAAAGTACAAAAAGTTCACTGATAGGATTTCAGATTCTACACTGTAATTAACCCACTTTTTTTTAGTTTTGGTGTAGTATCAAAGAAAAACACCCACAATTATCTGAAAGGGTTATTAAAATACTGTTCTTTTTGCCTATTACACATCTGTGTGAGGTTAAGATTATCTATATATACTTCAGTTAAAACAGTCAACAGACTGAACATAGACGCATATGTGAGAACAAAACGAATGCACCAAAGTACACCCTTGTCACGGTATTTTTCACAGCCCCATTTAAGGCTGTGAATGAAGAGAATGCATCTTCGTTTAATCCAGATGTTAAAGAGATTTACAAAAATGTAAAACAATTAATTTTTTGAGAAAAGTTTTTCATGAAGATATAATTGATGATAATATATAATGGATTATTTTTAAATAAATTATCAACTTTTAAATTTTTTCAGCTTTAGTTTCTAAATTTAAATAACAGGTATAACCCATAAACAGTATAAACAAAAGCTTTTCTGAGTCCTCAAATTTTAAAGGTAAAAAGGGTGCTAGTATGCTGGGTGTGGTGGCACACTCCTGTAATCCCAGCACTGGGATCATTATGAGTTCAAGGCCAACCTGAACTACATAGCAAGACCCTTTCTCAAAAAACAAACCAAAACAAAAAACCAAAACAACAAAACTAAAACTACAGGTAGCACTTGACCTAGCTATTCCCCTTCTTGGTATCTTCCCAAAAGAATTAAAAGCATCATACCACAGCAATATATGGACATCCATGTTTATAGCGGCACAGCTTGCAATAGCTAAATTCTGGAAACAACCCAAATGCCCATCAACTGATGAATGGATAAAGAAGATGTGTTTTTTTATACAATAGAGTACTGTACTACTCTGCCATAAAGAAGGATAAACTTGAGACATTTCTAGCTAAATGGATGCACCTTGAGATCACACTTTTATGTGAAATAAATTGAACACACATGTGTAAATATCACATTTTTGTCTCTGGTGTGAGAAACTGAAAGTGTACCTAAGAACCAACATAGATACTGTGAAATAGAAAGAAACTGTTCCAAAGGAAAGGGGAACTAGGAAGTGGGGAAGGGGAAAGGAAAAAAGGGACAAGAAAAGAAAAGAAAATGGAGTGGACACAAAGCTTTTGTAAATAAGGAAGGGAAGAGCAGCTGAAGGGAGGGGAGAGAAATAGAAAAAAAGATATACCATGTACAGGTATAAATTTTCTATGATGAATTATCTTTTTTTTTTTTTTGGTTTTTCTCCGGTACTGGGAACCGAACTCACGACCTTGCGCTTGCCAGGCAGGTGCCTTGCCCCTGAGCTAAATCCCCAGCCCTGAATGTTATCATTATGTGTATCCAAAATGTACAAATAAAATATAAAAATCTCAGTATGACTATTACTTTTAAAAGTACTGAAACAAAAAGGTTATTTTAAATTTTTACCAAATACGTATTTCTTAACCTAAATTCTCATATTTCCAGTACTGACATTTTTTTAAAAATTTGTTTTTCCAGCACTGAAGTAGGAGATTGCCTGAGAGAGTACCAGACAATAATTAATAAAACTAAGTTTAAATACTTCCTATAAAATACAAATGAGGCATAAATTTGTGTTTTCATTTGTATCTTGCAAAAAAACTAAAATTAGCAGGTTTTCATAAAGTAATTAATGTGAAATCCTTATTTAATCCTTTTATCTCTTTGATAACATTTATCATAGAAAACTTATACCTGTACATGGTATATCTTTTTTTCTATTTCTCTCTCCTCCCTTTAGTCGCTCTTCCCTTCCTTATTTACAAAAGCTTTGTGTCCATTTTTTTCCATTATCTTTCTTTTCTTGTCCCTTTTTTCCTTTTCCCCTTCTCCCTTCCTAGTTCCCCTTTCCTTTGAAATCTCAGAATGCTTTCCTGAGGAGAGAAAGCTGAAGAGCCACAATTCTCACATGATGCAATTTCTCTGTGAGCTCGAAGGCTCATATATGGACAAAAATTGTTTCATTTAAGAAGACCTGGCCTCCTTGGAGGGTCTTATCCTTTCTTTTCCCACTTGTAGAACCATGGATTATTAGAGCTGCTTAATGCTTCAGATAGATCAGTCCAATATCAGATAAGGAAACAGGACAAGGACTGCTAGCTATGCAGCCAAATTGCCACAGACATGCCAGGTGCGGTGGCGCATGCCTGTAATCCCAGCACTTGGGAGACTGAGGCAGGAGGATTGTTGCGAGTTCAACGCCAGCCTGGGCTACAAAGTGAGCTCAAGGCCAGCCTGAACTACATAGTGAGACCTTGTCTTAAAAAAGACAAAAAACAAACAAAATAACGAAGTGCCACGGACAAGCTGATCCCCTCACAAATTTGACTCACCAGACTTAAACAGACACTCTTCCCCCAAAATAGCAAACAAGTTTAAGATGAAAGAAGAACAGGTCCAAGTTTGTCATAATGAGGAAGTCCATATACAACAAGAATGAGTTTATTAAAAAAAATAAATATCCAGAAGTAAGTTCCAAGCTCAAATTTCCAGGCTGGGGTGTAGCTCAGTGACAGAGTGCTTGCTTAGCATGTACGAAGCCCTGAGTTCAATTCCTACAGTGTGCATGTGCATGAATGGGCATGTACACACACACATGCATGCACACATGCACACACACACACAAAGAAGAAAGTGTGAATATATCTTTTTTTAACTTTTAACATACCTAAGCTAAGATCCTATGTTATATACAGCTAGATTTAAGGTATACTTCTGTCATTTCAAATATATGGGGATGCCACAGGAAATTTATAGATTCAAAATTAGAGTGGAAGAGGAAGAAATCATCCTGTAAAATTTATTAGAATAAAAAATATTCATTTATGTAAAAAAGTTACTACCCATAGGACTCAGTGATGAAATTAAAGAAAGCTGGCCCTTAATAAAGCTCATATAAGACATTACATATTCATAAACTTTCTTTAGGAAATATTGCGACATTAGGAGGTGAAGCATGGTCAGAAGAGATGGATCTGGGGCATGGCTGGGAAGAGTTCTTCTCTTTCTCCCTTCTCCCTTGACTGTTCTCTGCTTCCTGCTGCCCTGCCAAGAGCAGGCCTCCTCTGTCATGCTACCTGTCTTAGAGCCTGGAGCCAAGTATAGGCTGAAACCTCTACAAACAGTGAACCCAAATAAATCTTTCCTCCTTGGAGTTGTGGGTGTCAGGTACTGTGTCTCAGCAATGAGAAGGTAACTTGACACTTGGAATACATGAAATACTAGGTTAAAAAAAAAAAAACTAAGATCCCAGCAACACACATACACACACACACACACACAAAGATGAAAAAAGAAATTGTAACTAAATGCAAAGTATTACAAGGGAAAATTGAGGATTACATCAGTTGTAGGGGCTCTCTATCACAGGTAAGATGACCAAATTTATTTCAGTGGTTATTAAAACAGATACAGAGATGTACATTTTTTGTGTGAGATTATATATTATGTGTGTATTATCTGTGTTTGGGGAGTGTACTGGGAGTTGAGCTCAGGGCCATTGCACTAAGCTACATTCGTAGCCTGTTTTCATGTTCTGACAGTGTCTCAGTCACTAAGTTGCCCAGGATGAGCTAAAACTTGTGGTCTCCTGCCTCAGCCACCCAGAGTGTTGACATTTACAGGTGTGTGCCACCACTCCTGGCTTATTCTCATATTCACACAAAACATTTAAGGTTTTCTTTACTGACAAATTTACTCAATAACCACTTATAACATTTCTTACCTCTTGTGTTAATTTTGGTATGAACCTCAAGCTGGGGATCACTTGAAACCATACAAGGCCACCAAGGGTAGGTTCCCACCTTGGACCAAACAAGATCGCCAACCCGAAACTTAACACCAGTGGTTACTTCTGCGGTTGGGGCAGAAGACAGTATTGGCTGAACCTATGGGAAAAGTTCACAAAACTCCATCAGAAGTGACCTAGAACAAATAAACCTTGTACTACATACACTAAAAATGCTAACAATGTAAAACTTATCTCAATTATACTTACCTTTAATACCTGTACCTATAACCAGCAAGACAGAAGAGAGAAGGAAATAAAATAACCCCTACCTTAAATACAGTACTAAAAACAGTACTGATGTTTTCTGCTGCCAAATTATTGATAAGGCATCTGGAAATTCACATGATCAACAAAAATGCAGTTCTTCAAAGGAAAATAACTCACCAAAAATATGTACTTTTTTTTTTTTTTTTGAGACAGGGTCTCACTATATAGCCCAGACTGGCCTCAAACTCATCATGGTCCTCGGTCCTCCAGCCTCAGCCTCCCGAGAGCTGGGATTACAGTTGTGCACCACCACATCCGGCTGCAAATAGTTACTTCTTTTTTTTTAATATCTACTTCTTTAACCAGTTCCAAGATTTATTTCAGTGTGATTTCTAATAAAGAAGTGTGGAACTGTACTAATACACTGTATTGTATTTTCATCATTTTGTTTTCCCTACCTCTCAATCTCACCTCTGGTCAGACAACAGCCAACAAAGCAACTCACCGGGACGGCGTCTTTGAGTGCTGGCTCTTCTCTTGGTCTTTCTGGTGCAGAGTCCACCCTCTCATTTGGTCTCTAGGTGAAAAGGTGGATGGGAATAGAATAAAGTGGTAGCAAATCAAGGAACAATGACATTAAAAAATTAAATAAAACTACACTGCAAAGAGAATAAAGGATACTTATTAAATGAACAATGTAAGGAGTAAGATTATACCTCCCATTACTTACTTGATTACTTTCAAACTTAAGTTTCTAATTAAAGTGTATTTTTAACCTCCCAGGTTGAAAAAGGATGGGAGGGCACTCAAATGATTCCTAATATGTAATCTAGAACCTTCCTGGAAAGCAACTTGGTAATAAGTACGAAAAGCCTCGAAGTGTTCAGATTCTGACCCAGAGAATTTACTTCTAAACATGTATATGGAAAACATTTTGAGAAGTAATCTATCTATAAAATGTGGAAGTACTTTCAGTACTCAAAATATGTATACTCTGCAATTTAGCAACTAAATTTCAGAAAATTACCCTACAGAAACACACAAAATAAGAAAACTCTATCCAGAGAGATAATAACTACAGTATTATTTCATGTTGATAATCTATACCTGTATCTATATACATCTAACTTTTTACCTTAAAATAATCTATATATGTATTTAAAATATGTGGTACAAATATAAACAAACTCTTTTGAGAGTGACATTAGGGAAATGGTGAAGAAAGATCATTTACACTTTTGTATTACCAATCTTCTGTAAAAGAGAAATTATTTCTCCAATTTGAAAGAATTTTAAAGTTTCCTACTTGTCAGAGAGCAAAACTGAGATGGCTTTAAAATAGGGTATATTGCTGGGTATAGTGGTATATGCCTATAATCCAGGGGAAGCTGAGATTGGGAGGATTACCACAAATCTGAAACCAGCCTGTGCTACATTATGAGTTCAAGACCAGCCTAAACTACACAGTGAGACCCTGTTTCAAAAACAAGAAAGAAACAAACAAACAAAGCAAGGTGTGCTGGCACATACATATAATCCTAGTACTTGGGAGGATGAGGCAGGAAGATTGCTGTGAGTTTGAGGCTAAGCTAGGCTACATAGTGAGTTCATGACCAGCCTGAACTACAAAGCAAGACCATGATTCAAAAAACCAAAAATGAAGCCAGGAGTGGTGGCACACGCCTGTGATCCCAGCGCTCGGGAGGCTGAGGCAGGATAATTGCTAGTTCTACCTGGACAGTTTGAGTCCAGCCTGGCCAGTCTAGGCTACATTCAAGGCCAACCTGAATTATATAGCTAGACCCTGTCTCAAAATACCCAAAACAGAAAACAAAACCAAAAACCAAAAAAGAGGGCATACAAGCCTCCATTCACAAACTTCATTTTTTTCTATGATTCAGGTCAAAAACCGAATTGACTGAGAACCAAATCAAATTTTCCCATAAAGGTAAACACTGAACCTAACCACTGAATTTAATTCGGTTCTTATTCAACTTGGTTTGCAACCAGAATTGCAGGAAGAATTAGGTTCCTAAAACAAAGTAGCACTGTATAGATTAAATAAGGTCTTAAAGCAGATATGGTGGTGCACATCTGTAATCCTAACACTTGGGCGGGCTGAGGCAGGAGGATCGCTGCAAATTCAAGGTAAGCTTAGGCTACATAGTGAGTTCAGGTCAATCTGAACTACACAGTGAGACTTTGTCAAAAAAAAAAAAAAGAAAAAGAAAAAGAAAAGAAAATTAAATCTTAATCCCACTGAAAGAATATATTCTAAAATCTACTTAAAATTCTTATTTGATAACTTTACAAGATTTAGATACTGTTGTAAAAATAAAGTTTTATTAAGGAAAAGGAAAGTATTGAAAGGTTTGTAACTGTGAGGAAAATGGGATTTTATGTAAGGTAGACTAACATCCCAAATGCTAAGTATCAGAATTCACTCCATAGCCCCTCTTCCTGTCCAGGTACAGTTCTAGGAACTGGGTCTCTAACAGTGAAACAAACAGATGTAGATATGGTCCCTGACCTAGAACCTTACAGATGTATACACCAAACAGGAACATAAACACCCAGAATAGTTTATATTTAATTTCAGATATGAAGAGCAGGAAAAGCATGTCCAACAAAGTAGGTGATAATCAAAGAGGAGCCAGCTTAGTAAAAGAGAACGGATACTGCAGGAAGAGAGAGTGGGATGCCTGAAGTACCTGAGGTTTAAAAGGTAGAAACTTTAAGAAGTCACAACTACCGATCTAACTGCCCAAGGAAGAGAGAGGTTATGAGATGAAGGCTGAGAACATGAGACTGTGAAGTATACCACAGTAAAGTGTTTAGAGTTTATCTTAAATGCAGTCAAAAGCCACAGAAGAAGTACAGGTAGACAAACAACAAGCATCAATTTCATGTTTAAAAAGATCCTGCTAGGGGCTGGGGATTTAGCTCAGTGGCAACAGCGCCTGCCTGGCAAGCACAAGGTCGTGAGTTCGGTTCCCGGTACGGGAGAAAAAAAAAAAAAAAAAAAAAAAAAAGATCCTGCTGGCTGTGAGGCAGGGAGTAAAGAAGGAAAACAGAAGGTGTCAGCAGGAGGTCACTGCTGTAATCCAGGTAAAACAAATAGTAGCTTATTGACAGATACAAAAGTAGCTCTCTTGGATGCGTCTGTAGTGGTATCTTGAGTGCTTAGTATGATACCTTCATTAAGCAAAGAGAAAAAAACCTGCATTCCAATTTAGAAACTGGTTTTCCTGATCACTAGACTAATAATCAGGTGATTTAGAACTCTTGCCCATGTTTGTGCCAGCCATTCAGAAGCTGTCCTTCAATTCCAGACCCAGCTTAAGTGCTCTCCTTAGCCTCTCACCTCCAGTCATGCTGTGGCAGGGCAGTGGGGTAACTTGGAGAGAAACATCGCAGGCATGAGTGAGGTGTACGCTCTAGATGCATGGTGTCTAAGGAAAGGGACTGCTAGATCTTTTTTGAAGGCAGATAAGGAGTAATTTTTGCTATGTAACACAAGCCTACTACTGTTTTGGTTTTTCTTCTTTCTTTTTTTTTTTTTTTTTCCTTTTTTGGGGAGTAGGGGGAGGTACTGGAAATTGAACCCAGTCTTTGCACTGACTACAACCTCAGCCTTTTTGTTTGTTTTTGAGATAGAGTCTTGCTGTGTAGTACCAGCTGGCCTTGAACTCACTTATATAGCCCAGGCTGGCCTCGAACTCATGGAGATCTTCTTGCCTCAGCCTTCTAAGTGCTGAGATTACAGGTGCACGCCACCATATTCAGCTCCCCAGCCTTTTTATTTTATTCTATTTTAGTTTTTTAGACTGGGTCTCACTATGTTGACCAGGCTGACCTCCAGCTTGTGATCCTTCTGCCTCAGCCTCTCAAGAGGCTGGAACTACAGATGTGCCCAGCAGTAAGACTGCTTAAATAGAAAGAAAAATTATGTTAACAGGGCAACTAAATTATATTATTCTAAATATTCCTTTAAAATATTTTGCCCTAATGCTCTTATTAAAATATAAGAATTTCATTAAGATTAACAACATGCAGTATATCTGGCAGAATTTCAAACTCTTAATAATACAGGTATTACCTAAATGAATTTCAAAAACATTAAGCAAAATCATCTTTCCTAAAAGGTTAAAAAACTGTCAATGTTCAGATTGGGAAAAAAAATGTAAAGGCACTTGAAAGGCATAAAAACATTGCAATTTTCTTTTACTTTCTGAATAAGAAAGTTTGTAATGTTAAAAAGCAAAGAATTGTGTACAGAAAGAATGACTTACATATGAACGTATTCTAAAAACTGAGGCCCAGTGCTGAGAACTACACTCTGACTCTGTTACTGAGGCTGATCTGGCTACTGGCTCTTAGAAAGAGGCAGCAAGCTAAGAGTTAATGGGTGGCCTGGTAGAGAAGCCCACTTAAGTGCTAGGGGGAAGTGATGAATGTTTGACTAAGGCCTCTACTCACATGCCTGCGGCATTATGCCAGCCAAGGAAGAAGACTGCAGAAACCTTTTCACATGTTTCTCATTTGGTGGGAGGAAAAAAAACTAAAACCGATTTTTAAAATATACAATTTTAGTGGTGATCTCAGGTCTCCTGCTGCCTGGATGTTTGAACACATTTTCATTGTTGAGAAAATACGCTTGTTCTAAATAAATAACAGCCATTCTTCAGAAGGCCAAAGAGCTCAGAACAAGTACTGAGAAAAAAAGCTGTGGATAAAATCATGAAGTGTATTATTTTAGATGAGAGTTTGTTTGCTCAAAAAAGATTACAAGAAAGGAGAAGAGGTAGGCCCCGGAAGGAGGGCTTCCGGCGCACAGGGAGCCACGGCAGGGAGCACCGGTCTTCCGGCTGGCTAGCTTCCTGCCCTGTGGGCTCCTGGAGGGAGGGCCCCCGGCGCACAGGGAGCCTCGGGTGGGGAGCGCCGGTCTTCGGACCAGTGGCTCACTCCCTGCCTCTTAGGCCCCAGAAGGAGGGCTTCCGGCGCACAGGGAGCCTCGGGCAGGGAGCGCCGGTCTTCCAGCTGGCTAGCTTCCTGCCCTGTGGGCTCCCGGAGGGAGGGCCCCCAGCGCACGGGGAGCCTTGGGCGGGGAGCGCCGGTCTGGTCTTCGGACCTGCGGCTCACTCCCTGCCTCGTAGGCCCCGGAAGGAGGGCTTCCAGTGCACAGGGAACCACGGGAGGAGAGCGCCGGTCTTCCAGCAGGCTAGCTTCCTGCCTCATAGGCTCCCGGAGGGAGATCTATCATGACACAGAGAAACAGTGACACAATCGGCCCACCATGCAATGACTGCAGATGCCCACCCACTGACGTGTGTGAATCATTCAAACTTTGAACAACATGCCATACAACAGGACACTCTTTGAATACATGCCATACAACAGGACA